TAGGCCGCTGGGAAAGCCATTTGTCACATCCTCTTCGTCCAAATAGCACCGCACCTGCACAAAGCTCCCTCCATACGAGTTATGAGGGTGCACTACTGCCATCGCTTTACAGTCACATGTATGGAATTTAGTGCCCTTCCCAGGGAAATACAGGTTTAGGGACTGAACAACTCATGACATCCATGCCAGTAGGTGGTAAGAATACTGCACTTTGTGTCGTCACTTTTGTTTTTTTCTTTTTTTGGTCTTATTTCTAGAAATGGAGTTTCCTTCTTCTTTGACTAGTACTGAAAGAGCTTTTATTCACCGCCTCAGTCAGTCTCTTGGTCTGATTTCTAAAAGTAAAGGGTAAGTTGTACTCTGATTTCATTTTAGAGTAAATATATGAAACCTCATTACTAACTGTAAATGTATGAAACTTCATTGCTAGCTTGAAATGACATATATTTCCAACATATCTTGTATGTTTGTAGGCAATTATTGTAGGATAAAAATGATAAAAGGAAACGACAAAGTAAGCTTCTCTAGCTTTGTTCTAGATCTAGCTAAATAAACTTGTGGCATCTTTAGTTGGAGATAGTAGCCTTACCCTTTTCATGTGTTCATTTAACACGTATTTTTCATGTGTTTGATTAAACAAAAGTTCATCACTGAGTTCAGTTGTGCTTTAACTGCATTACTTTATGCCGAAGGTTTTTACATAGTATCTGGGAACTCAACAGAGTAAAATGGCATGTAGAATAGCACTTCCAAAACCATGCTTCTGTTGAGAAGTGTGGGGAAAAAAGGCTTCATATGCATGTTATGATGTTTCTTTCTCATGGCCCCCTCTGATTTTTCTGAAAAAAAAATCAATGTTTATTACTCATGAGCTTCAATAAAATTTGAGAATATGTTTTACTTGAGAGGTAACAGAACAAGAAGAATGGAAGAGTTTTTTTTTTTTTTTAAAAAAAAGGGAAAAACCTAGACAGATGGAGTACCATGTCAAATTTCTCTGCTCTGTTGAATAGCTGTAGCAGCATTTGCTGTTCTTCACTGTTGGTGAAATTTCATGATTCTTGTGGAGATAGTGGAAAATGATAATTCTTTGATCAGCTACTTAGCTGTCAACATTCAGTCGGCAAGCACTATTCAGCAGTTCTCATTCTCGATGTTTATCTAGGTTTCAGAAGAGCTTATTCGTACGTTCAGGTAAAGCTATGTTCTTCCTTATTGGTTCGACTGTCAGGAGTGTTATGGCTGATTTTGTGTGAATCCCTGAACTCCTAAGTTTCGCTGACCTTTTGTATCTTTGTATCATATTTTGGGAACAAGGAGTTGGAAAGCAGTGTCAGAAAAACCCATGTGGTCAGCCAAAACATTCCTGGGTTGTGTGGTACCTGTGCTGAAATACAGCTGCTAAAGTCTGTTTGAATTCTTTTGTTTGTAGAGCTAGTTAACATCTTCCTAGGAGATTCTGTCATACGTTGTTTGCAGATCTTTTCCATTATCCAAAATTTTTTGGGGGACAGGAATTTCAGAAAACAGTTGAACTGAAGTTTAAGTAGGTCAGAAAAAGAGAATGTTCACCTAGGAAAATATAAACTTTATTTTTTTTTTTGTAATAAGAGAACATTACACATCAAAGGAAATTTGTTTCTTTAAACTTCAATGTATTCTACTTGGATTTAATCCCTTCCAGTTTCTTCAATAACCATCTTAACATTTGAAATGATTACCAGGGCATCTTAAAAGCTTGATCATGATTGATCATTATTTTCATAATTATGTCTCTTGACAGTATAATTTTAATCTTAGCATTTATTATTGTGCCTATATTTATTGCACAGAGTGAATAAATAACAGAAACGCTTGGGAATCATAGGGCAGTATGATTTGACCAAGCATATATTAAATATTTAGAGAAAACTTACTGTGAAGTTGTCATAGCTAGTATGATTTTCTTTCAACATTGAGTTAGTGTAGAAAAAGTTCCATGCCAGAAGCTGCTGAAATGCAAACTGCTGAAAGCTAGGAGCGTACTCAGAGGAACAGAGGTTCTTTTTTTTTTTCCTGTTCTGACAACTAGATGTGCTTTTTTGATCACTGTTTCAACTTCAATATTTTTATAATTCTGAAATTAACTCCTGTATTGGAATGAGATAAACACAAGCCATTATTTAGAAAACAGCTGTGTACAGCACTTCACCACCAGTGCATATTCTTAAGCCCTGTCTGAGGCAGGGTATTTGGGTCTTTGTGTGGTCTTATGCTGTAGTCCTAGCAGGTCGTGTTCAAACTGTATTGATAGGTTATTGTAGCCTAGGCACAAAATGGTTAGGTTTAAGACAGCTTTTCAACAATTCTTTGCAATTCAATATCAGAGTTCAGTTTTGGAATGAATAAGCAATAACCTTTAAGTCTCTTAAATTTGTCTCAAAATCATTGGGTGTTGTGTCGCTATTGGTTAATACATTGATGGAGGTTTCTACTGCCTTTTGGGAAACAGATGCGATGATAGCCCTTTAAAAAGAAGGACAATTGGCCAATGTTATATTATGGAGGCCTGACTGTAAATATGTACTGGATTTAGATACCAGAAGCACCCGTGTTTTTTTGCTGCACTATTTCATGTTAATAATGTGTGGTTTTGGTAGGTGTTTTAGTGCATTGTGTTTGGAAGTTTCTAGATAGGCTTTTTATTTGAAAATAACGTGGAAGTACTCAAGAAAGAATTTTTGCCACGTATCATTACAAAGAGGTAAATAGGTTACTTAGTCATTATATACATTCTTTTTTTTTCCTGTTAGGAAAGGAGCAAATCGCTACCTGACGGTAAGGAAGAAAGATGGTTCAGAACCAGCACATGCAGTAATGTCTTGCTGTTTGACTCCTAATACAAAACATGCTGTGCGGAACTTAATTCAGAGATTTCCTGTCACAAATAAAGAACGGACAGAACTTCTACCAAAGACTGAGCGAGGAAATGCATTTGCTGTTGAAGCAGGTATATTCAGTGTGTGTTCAGATATGGACTTGCAAATTAACACTGTTTAAAAGGCAAACAAAACAAAAAAAACACACAAACTACAAAACAAAACTTTTCTTTCTATTTTCCTTCTTATCCCAAATGGAAAAGCGCCCCAAACCAAATAGTTAATTCAGTTGACCTTTAATTCTTAGAGAAGGATTTTGTAAACAAGTTTTCCTGAGGAAGTATGATTGAAGCAATTGTGTCCCTCACACTCTGATAGTCTCTCTTTCTGTCAATTTTCTTTTGGATCATTTGGCCAGTTCCAAACAAATTTGGCTGGAAAAGTACATTTCTTAAAGACATTAATTCCTACAAGTTCTGAGGTGGAAGTGAGGTGAGAACTTCTCAGAATGCCTGTGTAAGAGCACGTTTATTAGGAAATGAGTCTGAGTTTTTTTTCTGCTGCTCACAGGAATTTAGGTACTTGATGAAACTTTATTTTTGTATTGTTGTTTTGTAATGACCTGATCTCAAACAAAAAACTTATCTAGACTGGATCTCCACAATATAAAAGGTTTTATTGGAAGACACCTTTCGGTATATCGGTGGTTGTTGTTGTTACTTCGTTTTTTTAACACAGAATGATATTTTAAACAAGGTTATTGCTATAGCACTCTATGTGTGTAAGACTTGCATACTATTCTCAGGTACGAAGCTAGGTGTAGTGTACATAAAATACTTCCATTGGTATGCTTTGTTTCATAGATAGCCTTTGTTTCAGAGGGATCCATCAGATTTCTTATGGATCGTGCTTTTAAGTGCTTTTATTAATCTTCATTGGGTGGTACATTAATAGGTTAACAGATTGTTTAATAAGTAGAGGGAAATGATAATAAAAGTACTTAACAGCAGCTGTTTATAAAGGGAAGGTGTAAATTTAATCCCTTTAATTCTCTTGTATTTTTGGTCCTTGTAAACTATTATTCTGCATAATTTTTGGCAAGACAATGCTTCTTGTATTCTAAGCTGTTAATTTCATTATACATAATTGAATTCAATTTTAGGATAGTATACACTAACACCAGATTTGAAATAGTCTCAAATATATAATTGAATTTGATTTTAGGATAGTATTTACTAACATTGAAGTAATGTCAAGTTATGAAGATTTTCAGTTTTTTTTGAACACTTATGAATTAATTTCTAATATCTGATGGTGCACATTGTGGGTCTAGAGGTATAGATTCTGCAGAATTACTATGTATTATTTAAGATAAGTCATTTTGACCAGAGCATCATACTATATAATATAGACCAAATGGAGGTAATGAAGCTAAGAGAGAATGCGAAAGGAGAAATATGAATTACAGTATTTTTTTTTTTTTAATGAGAAGACGTATTGTCCGTTTGGAATAAATTAAAATGTGTTTATTCAACTATGGACTACCTGTTCCTGTGCAAACAGGGAAAGTGTAGATGTGTAAAAGTGATATGAAGGTGAAGAAAACATGCCAACCCGCTTTTCTCAGGTTTTGTTTCTGTTAGCTTTTGGTACGTAATAAATGTTTTTGAATTCCTGAGCAATGTCTTGAAAAAGTATTTTTCTCAAAATAGCTCTAAAAGTAATAACTCCTCTCAAAAATATTCATTTCGAGGACAGTAACAAGATACCTTGCTCTGATTATGTTCTTTGAATGTGAATTGGGTGTATCATTTTGTTCATAGGGATATGGAGTCAGGAATGTCTATTTTGCTTTCAGATTATTCAGTAATAGTGACTTTTGTATCTCTCTCTTCACATGAATTGTTAACTTCTCATTTCAGAAAACAGAGAAATGAGCAAGACCAGTGGGCGACTTAACAACGGTATCCCTCAGGTTCCAGTGAAAAGAGGGGAATCAGAGTTTGATTCCTTCAGGCGATCGCTACCGGTTTTTGAAAAACAAGAAGAAATTGTCAAAATAATTAAAGAAAATAGAGTTGTTCTGGTTGTAGGAGAGACTGGATCAGGAAAGACTACTCAAGTATGTTACTTTAATGAAATTTAAAAAGATAAAACTTTGTATTGAAAAGTAATACAATTTCTGTAATAGAGGATTTATTCCCCCTATAGTAGGAAATCTTGGGATTTGATAGAACTCACTTTCTTGCCTTTGAATTACTTAGCTAGCTGGTACTTACTGAAAAAGTAAATGGTTCTGCATGATTTTACAATACAGTTTTCCGTTAAAGGAATTTAAAATATTTAAATGAATATAGCATTTTGTTTAGGTCTTCCAGTTTGTTTTGCAATATGTTTTTGTAAGGATTTCTCTGAAATAGGAGGGAAGAGCTTTACCTTCTTTTTCTGAGGGAAAACGTAAGAAATTTCTAACAATTTAATCTAATTAATCTAATTTAATTTTGCTTTTTATCCCTTCAAGTACACTTGACATGGTGAATCTTTTGCAATCTGTGCATGGTAGAAGCCTACAGCTGTATTACACTGAAAAATAAATCCAGATTTTTATTATAGATTCCTCAGTTCCTTCTTGACGACTGCTACAAGAATGGAATTCCGTGTCGTATATTTTGCACTCAACCTAGACGCTTAGCAGCTATTGCTGTGGCTGAAAGAGTGGCAGCAGAAAGAAGAGAAAAGATCGGCCAGACAATTGGTTATCAGATCCGATTGGAAAGCAGGTAGTAACAACGTTTCTTAGCCAGTTATCTTGTGTAGGTATCTTGTAAGCATTTTAAAGTACAGTGTTTTGGGAACATAGCCTAATAAAGGCTCAAAGGAAAAAAATCATCCTTGTTTGTAAAGTATAGGACATGTCATATCAGGTAATGAAATATTTTAACGTATAAAACAGTTTTTCTCTTGCAGGCTTGCAGTTCCATGTAGTAGATTGTCTTATAAAAATGAATTGCACTCAGTTTATCTTTTTGGTGGTGTGGGAAGGCAAATTCTTATATTACTTGCAAATCAAACCTACGTTTGCCTCCTTTTCTGCTCCCCTTCCCCCTTTTTTTCACAATGCATAGGTTCTAGTTCTACAAGGAGGTAGGTAGGAGGATCAGGATGCTCTAAGAAAAGCTATATTGTGAGAATTAATAGGATATTTAGCAGGAAAAGAAACCCGAAACCATGGAAGTGAACAATGAAGTTGAACATAACCTACCTATGTAGTTTGGGTTAAACTTAATTTACGTTTCAACTTTCTCTTAGATTTTTTTTTAAGCATGAAGTGATATAAAAACTGATTTCTAGATCATTTTAGGAATATTTTCTGAGTATTAGGAATTATTTTCCTAAATAAAGCAGAATGGGAATGGCTGAAGGTCTGAAACTGAGTGAGATTTCTGGATTCATTGACTGTGTGATTCATTTCAACTGTGTAGTTGATGGGATTTTCAAGAATGGGTAGCAGAATGGAGATGAGTGAGAAGATAGCAAATGGTGTGGCTGGTTATGATGCCTGTGTGGATGAAGATAGTAAGTAGCTAAAGAAGACAAACTCAGTGGAACAATTGAGTGAAGCTATGAAAGAATCCACATATGTGTACAAAAGCTTACCCCTCTATGAAGGGATTTAAAGAGGTACTAAACATGAATTACAAATGAGATGGATGATTAAGGTATGAAAGTACTACTATAGCTGAAGAAGAACACAGTAAATATCAGGTGAAAGTAGAGAGGAGTAGTGTGGAAAATACTTATTAGGTAAGAAATGTATGTATGATAACTGCTCTTCTCTTACTAAGAATACTAAGAAATTAGTATTTATTGGTAGTATTCCTGGTAATATGTGGAAAGGCAAATGGGAAAAAATGGGAAGTGTGGGGGTGTATAAAACTGTTAAGTAGAAATGAGAGTTTCTGTAACAGGCTTCTAGAGAGGAAGAGTAGAGAGTAGAGAGAGGAAAAATAAAGCATTTCCATCTTTATTACATTCTTCATATTCGTGCGATAATTTGAAAGGAGGAAAGAATTCCAAACTTTGAAAGAAATGTGGGAATGATAACTTAATGAATTCTTGTGCCTTCAAAAGGAGACCTGTAGAGCACCATATGAAGGAACTTTACTGTCACTGTTGGAGAAAGTAGTGACAGTTTTTGTTTTGAGTTGCACAGCTAACTCTGCTATAGGTGCCAGAATAGTAGCTTTTACAGATTTTGAAATTCTTGAAGAAAAAAAAGATGAAGAAGACTGATCTTGTGTTTTCCAGTCAATTGTAGGCATATGCAAATATGGCATTTGAAATATATGTTCAAAAGCAGGAACATGGTTTTTGCAAAGCAGTCTCCTCAAGATTTTTCTTTTTTTTTCCCCAATGCGAACCTGACTTTGTTAATGAAATCAATTAAGTTTTGGAACATAAGTCCTAAGATTCTTCAGCAACTCTGAGTAGGAATCTTTTAAAAATACATAGTAAGCCTGAATTCTTTGGTAAAAGAATTATAATCTAATCCTTCTCCTGGTGAGCAGCTATTAAATTCCTTAATCTTTAATAAATAGAGCATGAGATAGCATGTAGTTACATTATACGGTTAAATGGTACAAAGGACTAAAATATCTTTTTGATTTAATAGGGTTTCTCCAAAGACATTGTTAACATTTTGCACTAACGGTGTATTACTTCGCACACTAATGGCAGGAGATAGCACTCTATCAACAGTGACACATGTTATTGTGGTAAGAATCTTGTATTTCATGTGAGGGGGAGCAGGTACATATGGATAACTGTAACAACTTACATCTTGGGTGGTCTTTATTATTTTGCTGCATTTAAAGTATTCTTGTTTAGGCAGAAATGAAATAAAAGTTTTTTCTGTTTGTTTTTATCTGGTATCTCTTATAAGGTACACTTTTTTTCCTCTCTTTTCTTTTGTTGTAATTATTTTATTGGTTTCCCTGAGGTTTGTGATAGTTGATTTTGGGGTATCATGATGCAGTAGTGGAGGATAGTACCCTTAGTTGTTTGTGATGTCCTCTGTCGGTAGAGGAGTGTTAGGGAGAACTTTGTAGATACTGCTCAATGTGAATGTGTCAGAACCTTATGGATCTTGTACTTAATTTTAAAGTTGGTGTTTACACAAACGTCTTCAAGAGAGTAAGTAGTGATCTGATCTTCAGTAAATTACTTAAAGGTGTTAGTTTATTATGTAAACTCCCACTGTGGAGTCTGAGAAGTCAGTGGAAACAGTTTATCACCTTACCAATATAAGATCTCCACTGAGGGAGACTGCACGATCTTAGTTCCATAAGTACCAAAATGAAATGGAGAGGAATGCATGAAATATTTTTATACTTTCAGTCTAAAAACCGTGTGTGTGAGTCTCTACTCTGTAAGTTCATAATATAAAACAGAATAATATTGCAGCAACAAAGCCGATAACATCAGTTATGCCTGCTGAGGGGCAGACTTGCCTCTGACAATGTATATAAGCAATCTGACTTTTTCTATAATTGTGGGGCAGCTTGTGTTTCTCTAAATGCCCAGCAGTGCTGAAATGAAAGTTCATTAAAGAATTTGCAGTTTTTTGTCCATGTCTTGGAAATGAGATGCCTTCAGAGAAGTCTTCAGCATCTGAAATCGAACTATATGTTGCTAGTACCTTACCAGTACAGTCTGTTCTGATATTCTTTTGATACTTTTTGAAACAGTTTGACTCTGGGTATTAAAATACAATCTTTAAGAAGTATATATCACTGAATTTAAATAAAGTGGTACATATACAATACCCAGTCTCCTTCTCTGGAGATCTTCAAAACCCACTTGGACGCAGTCCTGTGCCACATGCTCTAGGTGACCCTGCGTGTGCAGGGGGTTGGACTAGATGATCTCTAGAGGTCCCTTCCAACCCTAAGCATTCTATGATTCTGTACGAACAAAATGCATGTTTTGTTTCAAAAGCTTATATTTCTGAAAAGTTGTAATCCTGTATCTGTGATTTTTTTTTCTCTTGTAGGATGAAGTACATGAGAGGGATAGATTCAGTGATTTCTTGTTAATAAAACTGAGAGATGTGTTGCAAAAACAGACTGGTTTAAAACTAATTCTTTCTAGTGCTGCTTTAGATGCAAATCTTTTTATTAGGTATTTTGGGAGTTGTCCAATAATACACAGTAAGTATTTCTGTCAGCTCTTAAATCTGATTATACCTGTCTAGGATTTATAAGTCTTACTAAGCCAAATCTCCTAATGTCCATAAAGGAGCTCTAGAAGCAATCAATATTGGAAAAGAAATCTGGGTGAATTGCAGGCTATTTGGAATGACTCATTTGTTAGTATGTATTATGTAAAGTTAGCATCTTCTCGTACACTTCTCTTGCAAGAAACTATTTTCATTAAAAAACTATTGTTGTTGTATCTTGCACAAAAGCTGTTTCTGTTTTATCTATAACAAGTGTTATTTGTACAGTGGGAGGTAAGCGTGAATTCTTTTCCTTTAGCTTAAACAAAAATGTTTTTTTTTTTAATAGAATACTAGAGCGTAACTCTGGGTCATGTGCATCTTTTCCCATAGTACTTCAGTAGAATCAAGATGTTAGCAGAAGTCAGTATACTTAGCTGGTATTTGTCTTTTTAAATGTTAAGTGGTTTTGCAGTAAGGTTAATAGAAATGCCTGATAGAGATGCTTTTACAAGATTTTTCAAGGAAAATAATAGTTATTCCTTAAACTAGACCACTTTAATTTTAACTGAATTCTCATTTCCACAAAGTTGCATTTTTTTGTTAAGATGATCAATGAACCCAGGCAACATCTAATACAGTATGCATCATTTATTTTCAGTACAAGGAAGACCTTTTGAAGTTAAAGAGATGTTTCTGGAGGACATTTTACGAAGCACTGGATATACAAATAAAGAGATGGTTAAGTATAAAAAGGAAAAACAGCGAGGTTGGTATACATTTTGGGGCTGGGGAGGTGGAGAGGGCTAGAGAATGAGGCTCACTAATTCTTTAAACAATTTAATACAGTGATTCTGTGTGTAAAATTCCAAAGACAGAATGCTAGTTGAGGTGAGATCTGGTGAAAACAAGTATTTACGGTCTCAGTGTTTACCTTATTGAAATAGTTTAGGTTTTGATATTTGCATATTTTTTGCTTCTATTTGATAAATATTTCATTTTTGCTCATTATTATGGAGAACCATGGAATATAATTTTGTGCTTTGGCCATATGAAAGGCATAGAAGTAGAAACTATTATATGATGATTTTTGGAGGCAAATTCAACTGCAGCTGTTACAGAGGTAGGACTTTTTTTTTTTTTAGGTATTGCCCAGAAATGATTCCTAGTGGCAACGTTTTTCACTGTGTTTCTCAGACATTAATGTGTTTAATAGAAACATGAATCTATAGTGGACAGTAGTCTGCAACAAGGAGAAAAAGTTGTCTAGGGAGAATAAAGTTGTCTTTAGGTTAAGTAGATATATTATTTGAAAGAAAAAAAAGTATTTCTAATTTAGAATTAGGAAATATATATGTTCTTAAAGCAGAGGTTTGCAGTGGTGGAGTGTGGAAACCTTTTAGTCACTGAAGATTTTTATTAGGTCTATTCTGGACTGAAGATTTAATAGAAAAAAGCCTTTTGGCTTAGTCTAATGTAATAGAAAGCAATGGATGACTAAAATCACTTTTTTTTTTCTGGAAATATGCATTTTAGAAGAAAAACAGCAAAACACTCTTACTGAGTGGTATTCTGCTCAAGAAAATAATAGCAAACCAGAATCTCAGAGGCAAAGACCTGCCCCAAGTGTGACTGAAGAGTATGATCTGTTAGATGATGGTGGTGACACAGTATTCAATCAACTGGTAAGCATTTCCTTTTGTTGGAGAAAATTATATTAACATTATATTAGTAGACAGTTGAATACTGGTTTATAGAAACATTACTCCCATTGAGTTTTTAGGGATTGAACAGGTTGTGAAATCTTAGTTTCTTTTCTTTTTTATAATTAACTGTTCCACAGACAGATATGATTTATTAGATGATAACAGTTGTATATAAAAGTTGATAACAATTATTGTTGTGAGTACCTGAATATGATATTAAGAGACAGGAACTGTCCAAAAAATATTTGTCCTTCAATGCTGTTTTTTCTCTTCAGACTGAAAAAGATGTAAATTGTCTTGAACCATGGCTAATAAAAGAAATGGATTCTTGTCTTTCTGACATCTGGTTGCATAAAGATGCCGATGCCTTTGCTCAGGTGTTTCATCTCATTTTAACTGAAAATGTCAGTGGTAGGTCCCCTCTGCTTATTTTATCCTACAAAAGAGAGGAAAAATAGCCAAAGAAACCACAGAAATTCAGGTCTTTATGTCCAGTTGCAAATTTTGTGTTACTTTTGATTGTTAATGCTAACTGGAAAGACTGCTTGTACAGGATGATTTGGAATAGAGAATTGTGTAGTTATTCATTATCAGACTTGTTCTAAAGTATCGACAGGTGTGTTATAGTATGCTTTTAAAGCAATGTTAAAATCTTAGAAATTGCCTGTGGGATGGAGTAAAGAAATTCTGTTTTGGCCGGCTTAAATTATAACACGTGTGTGTGTGTGTGTGTGTGCACGTGTGTTGTTGTTTTTATTTGATTTTTTTGTGTGTGTGTGTGTTCGTTTGTTTTCCCTTTGTTTTCTTTGAACCTGTTAGTTGACTATAGGCACAGTGAAACCAGTGCGACCACGCTAATGATTGCTTCAGGAAGAGGCTTTTTGAGTCAAGTAGAGCAACTGATCAGTATGGGAGCAAATATCCACTGCAAATCATCCAATGGCTGGTAAAAATTATAAAAAACAGCTAAACTAAAATATATATATATATATAGATATTTCTTATAAAAATGAAAGATTTCTGTTTTGCTTTCTGAATGAATTAATTTACCAATTTATCCAAGTACTCTATGTGGTAATATATTTTTGATATGCTAAGCAATTTATAATTTTTGTTTTTTCATTTTTTTTCTCTAATCTCAATTAAATTCGTAATTAAACAGTCTTGAATATACAGTTGTATTTTCAGTGAATCCTATTTTACACACTGTAAGTAAATGACAAATGACAGTCTTTCTGCATTCACTGAAATAGAACCAAAATAGTAGGCCACTTTTACCATAAGACAGTAACCTCAGTAAGACTGAAAACAATAATATGTTACAATTGCAAGGTCCTTTGCAGTAGTATAATTATAAACATGTTCTGTCATGTAAAAAATATCTGTACATCAGATTTTATGGCCATTAATTATTTATTTTGAAAAAACAAAGATGGAATTTACTGTAAATAGTGATAATATGGAAAGATAAGACTTACGATTCTGGAGTTTTGCTATTTGGTCATATGCTTAAAAAAAAAAAAGAAGAAGCCACCTTGGAAAGGAGTTCAAAGACAGAGACGAACAAAATACACATTGCTGTAGAAAACATCTAGGGTGTGACTATTCAGGATGATTTCTGTGTGCTAGTGAAAGGGTACTGCCAAAGGCATGGCTGACTTTTGCACATTGGTGGGTGTTTGCTTTTTAAGGAATTGACATTTTTTATCCCTTGCTCTTTCTCCCTGCACACTTGCAGGTATTTCCACATAGAAGGGGCATGCTTACTTGGTAGAGAGTTTTAGTTGCCTAAAAATCAGTAGCTACTTATTACACTTTTATGCGTGTGCAGATAGAATCTTTCAGGTTCGGCAGTGACTGTATTGATAAAATCACAATGCAGAAATTGATAGGAAAAAGTGCACTGTATCAGTCGTCTACTGGCATAATTTAGTATTTATGTGCCTGTTTAGAGGAGAGAAATAATAAGGATCACTGTGTAACTCCTTCAGGATGGCTTTGGATTGGGCTAAGCACTTTGGACAGATGGAGGTTATTGACCTTTTGGAATCCTACAGGTAAGCAATAATTACTCTGCAGGAATAACATGGAGAATTTCAATTTATGTTTTGTTATGCCTTCTTCTTTTAATCAGAACAGTTTTGTTGGTCCTGAAATCTGATCTAAATAGCTAGATTTATGGGTGTAGGAATATTTTGAAAATACATTGTTATTACTGAACAGTTTGTTTTGTATTCAGTATCATTGTGATTATGGTGGCATTGGTACTATTTGTGCGTGTATATACGCACACATTAGAACTGCGATGTAGTTCTACTGCAGTTCTAATGCTTTGAACATCTCTTATGTCAATTGTTTATCTTCTTCCCTGACAAAAATGTCCACATGTAGGCAAGATGTGATTATATTTACTTCACCTATTTCTGTGGTGACAATAGCCATTATGTAATGAAAGTGCTACAATGTTCTCAAATTAAGGCTCTGTAATTAAAATGGAGCAAATCTGTGTTCTATAGTGGGGCATGATTTTGTTTCATGTGTGTATGTACTGTCAATACATGATGTAACCATATTGAAAGAAACAGATGAGCAAGACATCCATCAAAACATTCAAGAATTGTTTTTTGATAACTCTGTTAATAATTGCACCACTGTAGTTCTTGTAGCGTAGTTCCTGTTGATAAGATACCCACTTATACTTCCATGTCAGGAGAGTAGTTAGAAAATACATGTTTCTTTTTAGGAGTTTCCCTTTAAGCAATAAAAGAAATGTTTTTTATACTTTTGGTTCTCTCAGGGTTGCTTACTGTTGATGATTAAAGTTAATACTAACCACTCAAGTTGAATGATATGCTGAATTAGCTCTTAAGTCACTGAGCAGTACTAATATTGTGGGAATGCTGTGCTGCTATCTTTTAAATATTTCTTACTAAATTTGGTCATACCAGTCATGTTAGTCTTGAACTGAATTTGGCCTGTGCATTTATATATCTTAGTGCTTCACTGGAATTTGGAAATTTGGATGAAAGTTCCCTAGTCCAAACAAGTGGTAGTGACCTCAGTGCAGAGGACAGAGAATTGTTGAAAGCTTATCATCACAGTTTTGATGATGAAAAAGTGGATTTGGATCTGATTATGCACTTGCTTTACAACATCTGTCATAGTTGTGATGCTGGTAAGTCTAAAAACACACTCTAATAAATTGCTGTAAACTTAAAATGGTAAAACCTTTTGGTTGCTGGTATACATTGTTCTTCTGTATAGTTTATATACTTTAAGTGAGTTTAACTTTGTGTAGAAACTTTTTTTTTTTTTTTTCCCTCTTAGGAGCGATTTTAATATTTCTTCCAGGATATGATGAAATAGTTAGCCTGCGAGACCGTATTCTTTTTGATGACAAAAGATTTGCTGATAATGCTCATAGGTAGGAAATCTCATTTATACTGTTGACTGGAGTTTTTATTGTTTCTTTTAAAGATGCTTTAAAAAAATGTCTTCTGTCTTGCACTAGATACCAAGTTTTCATGCTGCATTCAAATATGCAGACTTCAGATCAGAAGAAGGTGCTTAAAAGTCCACCTTCTGGCATCCGCAAAATAGCAAGTATCATATGACTGTGTGATATTTATATAGATTTATGTAGTCTTTTGTTTCTACAGTTACTACTACTTTTAATTACAGATTCTTTCTACTAATATTGCGGAAACCAGCGTCACAGTCAATGATGTTGTATTTGTTATCGATTCAGGGAAGATGAAAGAGGTATGAGTGGCTTAAACTTTCTTTTAATTAGTAATATTTTACAATACTAATATGAAAACATAAACTTTGAAGGAATTTTGTATTTACTGGACTTAGTGCTTAGTACATATTTGAAATACATGTCAAGTAATAAAATTTAATGACCAGTTTGAGAAAAGAGTGAGAGAGCTGGGCCTGTTCAGCCCGGAGAATAGAAGGCTGAGAGGGGATCTAATCAGTGTCTATAAGTACCTCAAAGGAGGCAGTGAGGAGGATGGTGCTGGCCTCTTTTCAGTGGTGGCCACCGACAGAACTAGAGGAAACGGATGGAAACTGAAACACCAAAAGTTCCACAGGAACTTAAGGAGAAATTTCTTAACAGTGATGGTGACAGAGCACTGGAACAGGCTGCCCAGAGAGGTTGTGGAGTCTCCTTCTCTGGAGATCTTCAAAACCCACTTGGACGCAGTCCTGTAGCACGTGCTTTAGGTGACCCTGCGTGTGCAGGTTTGGACTAGATGAGCTCTAGAGGTCCCTTCCAACCTTAATCATTCTATGATTCTATGATTTTATGATTTTGGTATCTGACAAATGCTGATAGCAAGCAGCTCTTAAAACCCTGGAAAGGATGCTGTAGGTTATTGTTTGTTGTAGCTTAATGCAGTGTTCTGTTCAATTTGAAGTAATGTCCATCTGTATAGATCTTCATGTTTGTCAATCACAGAAAACTAGGAGTGCTCGTTTTCCTGTTACTGTATCCAGACTAGGACTAATCCCACAACGAAGCTTGTAAGCTTTGTTTTTTTGCAACAGTATTGGATTTTTTTAAGAGGTTGGGTATGGCTTTGAAAAACAAAATAAATTTCAGGGGACCCATGTTCGTCAGTTTTTCAATTTCTCATGGTAATACAATTGCTTAGTATTTTTGCAGCAAATTTAGGAAAACTTCAATACTTCAAAACACAAACCATGTTACAAATTATTGACTGGAAAACCTGTGATTTAGAAAACCGTATAGTACAAACATACTGCAAACAGGAGAACGTAAATATATTTGAAACTGAATTGCTTTAAAGCATACTCTTGTATCAGAAGCTGCCGTTGGTGTTTGTATATTTAGAGAACTTCTTTTGATGAGCCAATTATTACTGTCTCATTTCATATACTTTATAAAATCTTACTTTTGTGTTCTTTCCTGTTACAGAAGTCTTTTGATGCACTGAATTGGGTCACTATGTTAAAAATGGTGTGGATTTCAAAAGCCAGTGCTGTCCAGAGAAAAGGCAGGTAATAAATGATTCATATTGACGTTTGTTTTGCAAACATTTAACATGCTTTAAAAAAGCATGCATTTAATATGCTTCAAAAAAGTCCAGAAAGTAGGAAAAACCACACTGGATTACATCATTAATCTATTTCCTGTCCAGCAGTGGTCAATAATAGCTCTTTGTGGGAGAATTAGAAAATAGGGTTAGCATGTACTTTTTCAGAATTTTCCAAGTCTTAGGAAACTGTCTCAAAGATTTTCCAAATATGTATGGGTCTTTCCCCCGATTTGGACCTGTTGTCTTGATTTTTTTTTTTTTTAAATGAACATACTCATTTTCCTCTTCTGCATGTGTAGCAAATGCAGTATTCGCTTAGTATCACACAGGTTATCTCTCTGTGGGCGAAGAACTGTCTTTTGCTAGTTTTGAATCCCTCTTTATCCACGTATAACAGGAAATACTGAACAATATGTCTTTGTTCACCTTTCTACAAGCTGTTCATGACCTTACAGGTCTTTTTCTTATTCTTAGCGGGATAAGGGCTAAGAGAATAAGCAGTAACAAGTTTACGGATATATTATCAATATTAGCCTGCAGGAATTTGGATGTGCATAATGAACACTTGCTGTCTCTGACATTTCGCTTTAAAGCTGTCTGCTTTTCACTCTTGGAGTAAGTTTCTTCTGTTCTGGATTCTCTCCCAGATTAGCAAGAAGTGTAGTTCATTGCTTACACTTCTTACATGAAGGACACTGAAATTTGGATTGACTTTACGCTAGCAAAAACCCCACACATGTTTATATATCACTTATTTTTGTTTTATCAAATCTTCTGGTGTTGGTGTAAGGTTATAATAACCTACTTTCTTAATGCAATCTTCTGTTCAATTTCAAGTAATGTCCTCCAATGTTTAGACCCCCGTGTTTGCCAGTAACAGAAAGCTAGGAGTTCTTCTTTTCCTGTTACTGTATCCAGACTAGGTCTAATCCTCCACACTTTCTTATTATCAACAATCATTCTTTTACTGGAAAAATCTCAGTTTGTGTGTGGGGTTTATGCTTAATGACAAAATTGTTTTTTGCATTAGACCTGCTTCTGTGTTTTTCTTGTGGGTTTTTTTTTTTTTTTTTAAGTTAAACCAAATAAACTCACAATGTATTTGTAGTTATCAACAGCTATTAATATGTTATTTTCAAGGGCTGGTCGCTGTCGGCCTGGAGTTTGTTTCCGTCTCTTCAGCAAGCTCCGGTTTCAGAATATGTTGGAATTCCAGACTCCAGAACTTCTAAGAATGCCACTTCAGGTGCCCATTTGGTTATAAGTCATATCTTTTCTTATGTAGTATCACCACACCATACCTATACATACAAAATACTGCTTTTTCACAGTGTTAATAAGCTATTTGTTTTCTAATTTACAGGAACTTTGTTTGCACACAAAATTGCTGGCTCCAATTAATTGCCCAATTGCTGATTTTCTCATGAAAGCTCCAGATCCTCCACCAGCTTTAATTGTGAGAAATGCTGTGCAAATGCTTAAGGTCAGCAGTGGAATAAATAGCATGGGATTTGTATTTCCTTCTATTTGTGGTGTGTTAGTATGTCTTACTCTGTCTACTGTGCAGGGAGTCTTTTGTTGTTTAGGTACTCAGGGATGCTTTGAGGATTTTTTTTTTGTTTTGTTTTGATTTTGTCAGGTGAACATGACAATTTCTTAAGGGGAGAGAGATGGTTGGAAACTCCCATCTCAAATTTGACACAGTTTGACTTGCATTCTTAGTGTCTGGCAACAAATCTAGTTAACATCCCATATTGATTTCCTTTTTCTGCTTTTCTTGTGAACTCATTTTCCCATTTTTCTTTTTAAATCAGACAATAGATGCTATGGATACTTGGGAAGATCTCACTGAACTTGGTTATCATCTGGCTGATTTACCAGTAGAGCCACACCTTGGTAAAATGGTGTTGTGTGCAGTTGTTTTGAAGTGCCTGGATCCTATTCTTACCATCGCTTGCACTCTTGCCTATCGAGACCCTTTTGTCCTACCGACACAGGCATCTCAGAAGCGCGCAGCCATGCTGTGTAGAAAACGTTTTACTGCAGGAACATTTAGTGACCATATGGCGCTTCTCAGGGCTTTTCAGGTATTATTTCATCTTCAGAAAGAGTACTAATCACTGTAGATTTCATATCAGAGAAAGTGGTCCCCTACAGAGTTGGATATGGAATAGATAGGTTTATAATAAATTCTTCAAGGAGGAGGAAGGGTTTGCTTTTTGCCTGGCGGCTTTTCTGTTTATTGAAATCACTAATAATTTTTCTATAGGAAACATTTTTTCAGAATATTTGTATTTTTACCATATTACTTGCTAACTTTCTTAAACTCTGAATTTCATCTTTGGCTATAGCTGATAGTGTGATAGGCTGTAATTTAGAGATCTTTTATGTTAATTGAAAGATAAAGTTAACTTTTATATGACCGGAATAAGATATATGTGTATATCTTTCAGATATGGGTTTTGTGTTCACTTTATTGACATAAATTTTGCTATACTTAAAAAGTGCATTTTTGTTTTTTTAGTTAATCAAATTTATAGGCAAATGTAAAAACACTGTTTACAGGCATGGCAGAAGGCACGGAGTGATGGGTGGGAGAGAGCCTTCTGTGAAAAGAACTTTCTTTCTCAAGCCACAATGGAAATCATCATAGGAATGAGAACACAGTTGCTTGGTCAGCTCAGAGCCTCAGGTAAATAGCTAATAAATAAACTTAGAATGGGTTTGTAGTTCAACCTAGTATGAATGTTAGCAAGAAAAATGTTCACTAGTGTTGGTTCCTTTCTTGTTTTGAAATACTAATACAGATTCATTCTGGGTAGGGTGTAGGTTCTAAACTCAAGAAATGTTGCTGGGAAAGTCAGACGTGAGCTTACTGAAAGCACTCTGTTCCATGTTTCACTAGATTTCTTAGTGCAAGATGATTTTAGTGGATTCTTACAAACTAGTAATTTCTGTGTGAAATGTCATGCTGTACAAGTAACTATTTTGTGATAGTAAAACTCATTATCTGGTTATATCTCAATCTGATGCCTTTTTTTCTAGGTGGTAAGGTTGGCAATGTGAAAAATGCAGCAAATTTGTACTTACTTTACATTGTTTCTGAACAGGATTTTGCCAAGGGAAGAAGTACATAGTCCGCTTTAACATATCTTCGCGCTCTTCCTTGTTCAGGTTTTGTTAGAGCCAGAGGAGGAGGCGATATCAGAGATGTTAACACCAACTCTGAAAACTGGGCTGTGGTTAAAGGTGCCTTAGTGGCTGGAATGTATCCAAATCTAGTGCATGTGGACAGAGAAAACCTCGTTTTGACTGGACCAAAGGAGAAGAAAGTACGGTTTCATCCTACCTCTGTTCTTGGCCAACCACAATATAAAAAGGTAAAATCCCTTCAAATTTATAGTCCACAAACCAGTTTATTGTCTTCTAATGAACTTACGAAAGCTTAAAAATTTCCCCTTGTCAGTGCTTTAAAAGCAGTGTGTGCATGTGTAAACACCACTTTTTACAAAACATTTTATCCTTCAATTGCTGAAATAAAGAATTAGAGTTTGTGCATTTATTCATTAGTGTTTCATCAGAAGGTCTTCCACTTGTGTAGAAAGAGAGAATGTGGTAAAAAAGTTAAACTGTTTTGAAGATACAGCGATTCTGCTGATGGAAACAATGGGTTTGCTATTTTTATGCAAAATGTTTGGCTTCAAGGTATTTTATTCATATGGCTCTTTTAATATGAAATAAAAGGTAAAACAGCCTAATCTCTTAATTGCTTTTGCATAGATTCCTCCAGTAAATGGGCAAGCTGCAGCCATTCAGGCACTCCCTACAGACTGGCTTATATATGATGAAATGACAAGGGCTCACAGAATAGCAAATATCCGATGCTGTTCTGTTGTAACACCTGTCACTGTGTCACTCTTCTGCGGACCAGCTAGGTTACCAAGTAATGCTTTGCAGGAGCCTTCGTCTTTTCGAGGTATATATATCTGTTAATATGTAGTAGTATGTGGTGTGGAAAGCCTTTTTTTGAAAATGTTTCATATATATATATATATACACATATATATATATGTGTGTGTGTGTGTATGATAAATCAGAGCTACACTGCTAGAGTTCCTGTAGCTGTTGAATAGCTTATTGATGCTGTAGTAAAGATCTCAGTAATATACAAATAGTTTTCAGTACAGCATCTTGATTCTTTTGAATATACATTTTTACTATTGAAAAGATAAGTAATGAAAAAGAGAAAATTAGAAGCTTAATTTTTCAACAGTATCATCCATGTTCTGTCATATATGAAAGTAATGAAACAATTATGACAAGGATAGTGATACACAGTCGTTGTCTACTGCAGACCTGTAGGGGTTAGAGTTGTTTTCCTTTGTGATTGTTCATGGATCATGACAGGAGAGCAATAGGTCCTGTATTGTACCTATGTTTCATGGATGACCATAATCTTTACTCATTTGTTTTTTTTTTTTAGCTCCAAGTGTTCTTTCCTTTGTCCCCATCTTTCTTACTTGAGCCAAGCCTGATTCACAAGGATATCATTAATACTTTAAGGCAGATTGCTGAAATATGACAATGGTCTTTCTTTTTGAAGACAAGGACTTGAGACAGCTGTATACTTAATGAATAAGATAATATGACTATTAATTTGTCATCATAGAATTTATAATTAATACTAAATTACTTTTGGCTAATGCACTTCTAGTTAAAGTCTACGTATCCTTCAGTAATTAACTTGAAGATCTGTTTTTAATATCTGAAATTAATTTGAAATACTGTGTGGAGGTCAGATTCACTGCTGCCTCCTAGAGGCATGAAGAGTCTAATTAGGATATGTTTTGTTACAGAAGACTAATTAGGTGATCTAAACATACTGTAACGAGGAATTTAATTCTATTCTTCAGAGGAGATCTTGTGATTATGATAGTCCTCCCTGAATTGTAGCAGTTGCTAGCAGTTCCTCTGTTTCTGCTGTCTTCCTACCCTCACTTTTCCGTTTTCTCTTTACTGTACCTACAACGTCAGATGTGTAACCAAGAGTAGAGACTGGTCTGTCCAGTCACTACAAGACCTGGGCCAATGTGAGGTTTATTTTTAATTTCATGGCAATGGTAAGCATGCTTTTGGCTGGAAAGATCTTGTGTAGGGCCTTAGGAAAGGCTGTAATGAGCCCATCACAGTGCCTATTCTGGAACTATTTAGTTTGGTGCTAAGTATAAATTTCCTAAGAATAACTTATAACACTTTCCATGTACTGTTTCTACAGCAAGCAGTAGTTGATCCTTTTTCCAAAAGAAATGCCAGCAGTGTTGACATATTCATACCCTTGAATCCCACAGACTTATATGCATAAATTACATTTGCATTGTTCTGAATTTCTACAAGTTATAGCAAGGTACTCTAAAGCATAGCAAATCCACATTTCCTGTTAATATGAAAAGTTTAAAGATAATAATGCTGGAAAGTTTCTTTTCTAGAGACCGCTTTATTTTACAGATTGTTCAAATTGAATAACTTTTAATGACAATTAGTTATACCAGAACCTAGAAGTAATTTGGAATATAAAGGGGTCTGTTTTATTACAGCAGTCTATTTAAATAATACATAGTTGCAGAAAAAATATCCTGCTCTTCGTTTCCAATAGAAATACTATCTCAGTATTAAAGAAAGAGCTTATATTAAATTACTGAAGCTTTTTTGTCTTAGTGTTTAACTAGTACTCATACAGATGGAATCAAAGTTTTTTTTGAGAAGTGGGAATCCGACTCTATAGCAATGTGTATTGTTTTTGTATGAGTTTTAATCTGCTGCATTATCAAGTAGTAAAAAAAAATCATTTTCTAAATAGATTTAGGCATAAGTTTGTGTGTGCTAGTGGTTTATTGATGGAGGTACAAATGGAGATTGCAACAGCGCAGAGGTTTACATAATGGGATTCCAGGTGTGTCTGAATATTTTAGATCTACTAAAGTAAAAGCAAATTAACAGCTTTCTGAATGAAATATTTTGACCAAAATAGACATAGAAAAAAAGATTAAAATGTCTCAGTGTTTAGAAGTAGATTAAGAGATTGTAATGGCAATTTAGAAGGGAAATGGGTATATTTCAGGCAATAAAATAATATTCAGTATTTTATATGCAATTTGGAATACTGTTAAAATGCTGGCATATCCTTTATATTTGTTTCATCCAGTGGATGGTGTACCTAATGACAGCAGTGATAGTGAGATGGAGGACAAAACAACTGCTAATCTGGCAGTGCTGAAGATAGATGAATGGCTTCATTTCAAACTGGATCCTGAAGTAAGTAATTTATCAGTTCAGTGCTTATTTTTGAAGAATATATGTATTTGTCTTGTGCTTATTAATTTAAGAACTTTTTACAAATATAAAAAAGTATCAGGAAGTAGAGAATTTTCTTTAAATAGAGAATGCTGTATTCTCAGAAAGGATGATTAAAGCAAGCTCAAGATGGAGCACTCAAATTGGCAGTAAGAAAGACCAAACTTAACAAAGGGGAAAAAAATGTATTGAAAATAAAAATCTTCATGTCTTGAGAAACTGTATTGTAGAAAGAGAAGTTGTTAATGACTTATGAAATATTCAGACCATTCAGTTCCAACTGAATATTATGTTTTGTAGAGATGGGAATGTAGAGATACGACATGTGGGACTCTGGAAAACTAAAGCATGTTTTGATAGCATGGAAATCGGAGTGTAGTGTTCTAAATTCAGTCATTGCATTTGAGCTAAAGTCTGCCTTAGGAGAAGGATTTCATTTAGAACTGATCTTGTTTTCCTCAGCTGTGAATGAAGAGCATTTTATAAAGAACGGTAAAAAATCCTGCAAGTTTTCAGTATGGGTATGAGTTTGGTGCAAAGATAAATGAAATAGAAGGGTTTATAGAAATTCAGATAACCCCACAGATGAAAGGATAACTCTTAAAAGTTTTCTTAAAATGACCACGTTTTTCAGAGTAACCCTTTCCCACCTTCCCCCCAGTATTAGTCTTGTCAATCAGTTTGGCACTGTTGTTTTCAGAATGTCAGATACTCTCTATCCAAGAGTGATATAGACAGCCTGTGTCTTGCTGATCAAATTTTGATTAGTCTTTAACAGATTTAAAATTCCTTACAGGCTGCTGGCTTGCTGTTACAACTCAGGCAGAAGTGGCATAGCTTATTTCTGCGTCGTATGCGAGCTCCTTCTAAACCGTGGTCTCAAGTTGATGAAGCAACTATAAGAGCAATTATAACTGTTCTAAGCACTGAAGAGCAATCTGCAGGTTTACAGCAGCCATCAGGAATAGGGCAGAGACCAAGACCTATGTCTTCTGAGGAACTTCCTTTAGCATCTTCATGGAGGTCAAGTAACAGCAGGAAAAGTTCGGCAGAAACAGAATTCTCTGATGACTCTTCCAATGCTGAAAAGTAAGCTGTTTAATGCCTTCTGGAATAGATAATAAGCAGGTTTTTTTGTACATACAAAAGCAGCACTTGAATTTCTACTAGTAATAAAAAAGAACAGTAATGGCATGTGTGTCTAAAGAGGATGATAATACAGTTTGCAGAAATGCAGTTGTCATGTTGTAGTTGATTTTGTTACTTGAAATTTCTTATGTTTGAGAGACAGTCAGTCAGAAGTACATCTCTAGATAGAAGAGCTATAACCCCAGCATTCAAAAACAATGTGTATTAAGTATTTCTTAAAGTATTTTAAATGGTTTGCAACTGTTGTAATGCAAGTCGTCATGCAATAGGCTGAGACCTAGCTCTCAGTTGTATTGCTTATTGAAGTCTTAACCTGTTAAACTATCCTTAATTCACCTTTATCTCTTAGGGTTCTAATGAAATCTGCGCCTCCGGCATTTCACCAGGCACCAAAGTACAAAGAAAGAAGCATTTTGCATTCCAAGAGAACTTCAGAAGACAGGTCAGATCAATCATCAGTGAAGTCTACAGACAGCAGTAGTTATCCTAGCCCATGTGCCAGTCCTTCTCCTCCCTTATCTGGAAAGGTAGAGTACTTATAAATTACCCTGCTCTTTAATATTAATTGTATTTCAGAAGTAAATTAGATGATATCTTTCTGCAATGTCTTGCCTTATATTAATAAAATAAGAACTTAAAATAGATTTTAATTTTTTAACCTGCTGTTAACCTACTGTTTCTTTTTAGAACTTAAAAGCTAGACTAAATACCATTATTATGCTCATTGAATGTAATAAAATATTATTCTTTGCAAAGTCTACAGAACAAGCACAGAACGATCTGTTGTCTTGTTTGGACTTTATTTAATCACCATTTAAGGTGTATTCATGGTTTTGCTAAATGAATGTACAGATCTTACATTTCTCTGAATTCACCTTTTTGATCTGTTCTTGCTTTCTTTTTAACTGCATACATTAGGACACTGACTCTTTACAGTTTGTGCTGTCTGTCATATTATGACTACCTGCTTTTTTAGGATAGCTGTTGCATCAGATTTTATTTGAAGTTCCTGGCCTTATTCTCACTGTATATTTGAATAGTAAAACAAAAACAAAATTGTTCCTCTAGATGCTGACTCTTTGGAGGTTTTAATAAAGCCTCCTACTTCACAATAATTTAAATTTGAAAGATTTAAAAGGGGGAAAACTTGTGTGTTTTCTGAAGGTAAGAAATGTGAATAAGGTACCCGAGGCTATAATCTAGAGCAGTTAAATTTTTCCTCACTTGAAGGTACATAAAACTTGGCAGAATTATATTTAATTGCTGGACTGCTACTCTGTTGTACTTGTTTGCTGATCGTTTTTTCAAAACAACTGATTATTTTGGAAGGTGTTTCAGAAATGAAAAATAGATTTGAAATACTTTTAAAACCAGGGCGGACAATAACTCATAAGGTTTCCTTCCCCGTTCCAGGGAAGGAAGGCAGCAGTTCACTCGAGGGATTTTTGTCATCATGCTTTGAAGCGTGAAGCATGAACAAAATGCTTCATACCTAAACTTTAAAAGTAAAACCTGCTTTACTTTAATGTGGTTTGTTTTAATTTATTTTTTTCAAGGGCTCTAAATCTCCTTCACCGAGACCAAATATGCCAGTTCGGTACTTTATAATGAAAAGTAGCAACCTGCGAAACCTCGATATTTCTCAGCAGAAAGGTATATGGTCTACTACGCCAAGTAATGAGCGAAAGCTAAATAGAGCCTTTTGGGAGAGCAGCATGGTTTACTTAATATTTTCTGTCCAAGGATCAGGGCACTTTCAGGTGAGTCCTTTATATGTTAGCTTTGGCTGGTGATTTGAGAGTGCAACAGGTGACTATGTGTAATGTGGAGGTTTTTGCTTATAGATTCTGTCTATCTAAAAAATAGTGCAGGAAAGCAAGTTACCTAGTTAGTAAGGTGAAAGTGTTCATTCTCGTCTGAAATGCATCTTTTTCACTAACTCAACCTTCGACTCAGAACTAAGACTGACTTAAACTATCTCCCAAGATTCTTCAGCAATGTTTTAAATCCTAGGATAATCCTCCCTCCCTCCCCTCCTGCCAAACAAAGTATTGCTGCTTCTTTTTTTGCATGCCAAAGTAATATTATAAAGACATAAAGAATTATGAAACAGAGGATTTCTAGATTCAGAAAACTTCCAGATCTCTTTGTAATAAATTTAAATAACATCTGCTTTCCCTGAATAGGAGATTTTTAAAAGCCAGGTGGCTAGAAACTCATGGCCATGTTGTTTCCAGAGATTTCCCTATTTCAGATGTTTATGCCAGGAGGTGTCATCACTGTAACCTGTTTAAAAACAAACAATATATTGTATTAAGTTGCTTTTGTTAATTCATTTGAGTTAGCATGGTAGTCATCAACAAAAGCCCACCAATTTTATATTAAAGGCTTTACCTGATGGAGTGAAGCTGTGTGTTAGCTGTACTGTAGAGAAGGCTTAATTCTATTGTCCTTAGTAAACAAACTCATCTTGTTATATACATCTATTCATGAAAGTCAGCTAAACCTAAAACATAGAGAACTAGTTCAAATGCAGCAGTCTTGGTGATATCGCTGAGAGATTATAGTGGGAGGTACATATGATGATTTGGTAAACACAGATGTAGTATTATAAAGTCATTGCCATCATGTCAGTTGTGGTTTTCTGCTCAATAATAAGAAATTGGTAAATGGGCTGTTTTAATTGCAATATCGGATTAAAAAAAGGGGGAGTGAAACACTTTAGTTTGCTGAAGTCAGGAGTGTAGGTGGCTGATGTTGCCATGTTCTCCAAATTTCAGCAGTAAAGTGACCATCTATGAGAATATGAGGCTTAAATTTTCTATTAATGTGCTCCTCCATAATGTTTCTTTTTATTTTTCTTTCTCTTTTCCTTCTGTTGATTTACATTTGAAATCTGAGTTGTCCAGGTTTGCATATCTTAGAGTAGTGTATCATACTGGCAACCAGAGAATCCAATAGAAACAGATTTGCCAGATTACTTGAGGGAACCCTTTTCCTCCCCCTGCAGCAGAGATGTCCTGCTTAAATAAGAGCACTCTTGGGTTTGAGTTATATGATTCCCTTCCCCATCCAACTCCCCACCTTCTTGAACATTTATCTTGCTGGAATTTCTTCCCACTTTGAAGAAGAATAAGACAGTACCTTTAACTTGTCTTTTCAGGAAGAACACCTACCTTCTCTTAAAACTATGTAAAAGGTGATCAAACCAGAGGGGGATAAGGGAAGAAGGGAATGGATCTCTACCGCTCAGAGGAATGGGATATAATCTTGATTCTTTACACTTCAAATGGTCTTAGTATACTTTTTTTGAAAGATTCTATTACAAAGGGTTTAAAAATAATGGTAATTGTCCAAGTTTATCCAAGAGATATTCTCAGTGGTTAAACCCTTAAATGTTTATTTCTAATGGGGAAAACTACTGAACTTCTTGAAATGTTTAAATCTAGAAAATTATTCAAGTGTCTTGCTTGAGGAAGTGTGTGTGAATCACTGCAATTAATTCAGAAGTTTAGTATGAGGTCCAGTCATGTGTTTAATTCCACAGTGACCAGATGTCCTTTATGTTCTTCCTTTCATATTTCATTCTTCTCCAGGGTTTTGCTAGAATGTCCTCAGAGATAGGACGTGAGAAAAGTCAAGACTGGGGATCTACAGGTTTAGGAGGTGTGTTCAAGGTGGAGTGGATCCGAAAAGAAAGTCTTCCTTTTCAGTGTGCACACCATTTGCTCAATCCTTGGAATGACAATAAGAAAGTACAAATAAGCAGAGATGGGCAGGTAATGTTATTCCCTCATAAAGTCTCCTTTATTCAGAACTGCATGTTTAGCTTCTTTAGACTTCACATTTTTGTCAGCTCTCCTCGTGTATATGTTAATCTGAATCATTGTTCACTGACACACACACACACACACACACACACACAGCGTGTGCTGATTCTTGTGTCTTAACCACTGAGGAAATAGAGACTGTTGTACTACAAATAGAAAAAGAAAATGTATATTTGACAGGAGCTTTACTTAGAGTTTTGTTGCAACCATACTTTTGGAACAATAGGTTAAATGGTAAAAGCTATATTGATTTACTGCAAAAAGTAGCTTTTAAAATGTTATAATCAAGCATGTTAATTTCTTGGGAAAAATATTTAAGTATATCTTAAATTAACTGTAAGAGAATAATACAGAATAATACAAAAAGCAATTACAACTTCCTAACAACACGGAAATTGATTGCTATACATGGATAAAGATTTATATGTATGCTTTTAACAAAACTGGGTAGTCGTATTTGAAAGCTCTTGTTCCTCTAGCTTTCTGGTGTACTGGTTACAATGAACACATGGAAATAGGCCTATAGTAACTGAGGCATTTAAACTTAGGCGTATGGAAAACCCTTTGTATAGTCATCTGCCTTTTTTGGAGGTACTTTGGAGCTTTAATGGGCTGTTTTTTTGCTTTAAGTTATGAACAGCTTTTCTGAAATATTGCTGGTTTTGGTCAGGATAATATAGTCTCGTAAAATCAAAGCAGCCTTTTACTTGTATGTTCACAAAAACTTAAGTAATCTTCTTTCTGGAACTTTTCAGGTTTGATATTGTCACACTCGTTTCCTCTGAAATATTGAGAGAATCATGCTGTATGAAGTAGAGTAGAGTTTAGGACACATTCTCTAGTGTGTTAAAGGCAGAAATAGCTACAAGTAGCTGGAAGAGAAATTAACCTGGGAGCTCTCTACAGCAATTTCTGTGACCTCCTCTGTTTGTCAAAAAAGGCACAAATAGCAACTTGATGTTAGACACTTGTTCTAAATTTCTTGTATTGTCTTCTTGCTACATGTTCCCAAAACTTCTGTTGTTGTAGCAGTGAGGAAGGGAAAATAGCAGTAGCATGGGACGGTGAATCTTGAATCCTTAGTTCATAAGCAAATGAAGATACAAGAAGGTTCAAGATATATGGCATAAATTTTATGCAGAACTGACAGATTACTCTGAAAGAAAGAAAAGCCAAGCTGTGAGCCAGTTCAGAGGTAAATATATATAAGAAGAAAAGGGAACGAGCTCTTTCAAAAAGGTTAAAACCAAACAGACTTAACTTTATCTGTTTTTTTTGTAACTGATTTCTGTATATGTAGTAGTAGCAGTTCAAATAACTTTCCTAATGTCATATTCACTTCTAGGAGCTGGAACCACAAGTTGGAGAGCAGTTGCTACAGCTTTGGGATCGTATTCCTATGGGAGAGAAAAATTCAACTGATTGAGCATGATTAATATGCCAAAGGTAAATAAGATACTTCATGCATTACTCTATTAATAGAGGAAGAGTTATCAAGGTACAATGTATTGTTTACAGTATTTGTTTTTCCTTTGCAGTTTGAGGAACACTTAATATTTATTTAATACTTTTTTTTCAGGTGTGGTTGTCAAAGCGTTTTTTATAATCAATAGTAGCAGCAGTGTCCTTATGATGTAAAGATGAAGAAGAGGCTGGCGCAATGAGCTCTTGAAGTTGCTGGTGATATTCTACAGCTAACGCTGGAAAAATAGAGGGAATTCTGTTAATTTCCTTGTGATGACAAATGTTGTAAGTTTTCACCAGGCTGTTTTTGACTGAATGACAATTCCATAGAGTAGGATATTCAGTGTGCAGTTGACTTTTTAAAAAACATTGTTAAGTTCAAATGAAGTTTAAAACAACAGAGCATATAAGTTCGTTATGGGTTTAGAGTCGCACAGCAGGCAGTTTAAATACGCAGTTTCCATTTAAACAGTCTCCATGCAGAAAAACTGAGAACTGAGAATAATAACTCAGAATTACACTGAATACAGTGTAATGTTGATTAGTCTTGACGTTTACTTAAAATGAGTAAATAATAATAGAAACTTCCAAATATTTTTAAAAATTCCAATAAGTACTTTCTGAACTTTCATATGCCCAGGGTGTGAGAGCATATATTCTGATATATGATATATTCTGACAGACAACTAAGCAGAAGGAGAATGTCAAAGTTTTATTAAGTACATAAGTAGAAGGAGTAAGACATTTCTTTGAGAGAACATTGGTCCAACACTTGTTTCTAGTTTGTTATTTGTCTCCTTTAAAAGATAGTCTCCCTTTGGTAAGCTGAAATAGCCTTCAAAAGGCTGAAAAATGTTTATTTGAGCTGATATTCTAGTAAATTACTAACATGGAGATTGTTAGAGGAAGATTTTTTTTCCCAAAACAATTGCCAGTACAATTTTTTTTCACCTTTTTAATCTTCATACTGTCTCTCTATATATCTTTCTTTGTTTTCTTCTTCTATAGTCGTCTTTATTATTTCTTTTTAAAATAATTATTTTCTTAGGCTCGTCGTTAGAGATTACTGCAGTGTAAGGGTGATATTTATTCACTCCGTTCACTGGCTGCACTTCCCTTTGTGGTCACTCCTAGTACAAATTGAGAGCTTTCCTGTTTCTGAGTAGGCTTATGCTCTTATTCTTTGCGAGGAATGTTCACATAGAGCTCAGGGTACACTGTATTCATCCTTCTTTATTGTGTAGTGACTTCTGTACATGAAGAGTAGACTTTGTAAGAGTAACTGAGCCCTCCTAAAAACCTGGGTTTCCAGGCAGGTGGTAACACACTTTTTTGTGGGGGTTCTTTCTTTCTTACTTTATCCTCTCTTGTGTATGTTTTCTGGTAAGCAGTGGGCTTGCTCTTGTGTTGTATGTCTTTGAATGACATATTCAGGAAGTTTCCTCAACTTTGTTCAACTGGAGGAAGATGGTCAGATGGAAAAAGTAATTTTTTTCTCTGAACTTCAGGTATGATGAAAGCATGATTAGGTATGCTCTCCTTTCAGTGTTTAGTAATTGCCATTTAAAACAGAGATTTAAATTCTGGAAGGGACAGCAATCTTAATTAAGTTAAAACAGTCATGAAAGGAGACAAAGTCATGAATGGCCTTTAACAGTAAGGGGAGAGGAAACAGACTGGGAGTACCCTTTTGCCTTTTTTTCCAGGAAAACTTTATGATGATTATCTACATCAACTAAAACTTTTGGGATACCTACTGATTTTTTTTCTTTGTGTCTGTTTTTTTTTTAATTCAAATTAAATTCAAGATTTAGTTTGAAAAACACATGATTCGAGGTCGTAAGCAATTGGGTCCCATTCTGTATCATTGGTTATATTGTCTCCTGTTAAATTTTCCCAGCAATGATTATAAATTCATATTTTTGTATTTGACTGTTAGTGTTTTGAAATACAAAATCCTCGGTAATAAAGTTCTTTTCAGTAATAGTTCAGTTCTAGTTTTAAATTGTTGCTTTGCAAAATGAGTTTAAAATGTGTTCACCAAATTCAGTGCTCAGACTGCAATAAGTTAGCACTTAAAATCTGGTATTATGCACAAAAGTAACTGTAGTCAGTTTAAAGCTATGAGGGGAAGGCAGGTGCTAATTATGTACTGAGACTTAAAACTGTACATTTAAAACTCTTCTTTCTTTGTGAATGTTTTTATGGTCATCTGACTTTCTGTAGTTTGTTTCAATTTACCAGATAAGCAAATATTTTAAAACAAGGTTTACATGTTTTTGCTTGTTAGAGTGATTTTAATGCTGACAAAACAGGATAAATCAATGTTCACAGTGAGAATGCTTGCATGTTGTTTTCTGGTTTTAATGAGCTGACAACTTTTTGTTTGATTATACTTACCATACTATACTGTTTGTGTTTTCTGCTGTCTCTATTTCTTCCTATAAGCTGCACATATCTTCATAGATACACATTCAGAATTGTTGCTCTCGGGGTCTGAGTACAAACTGAACTCAGGGAAGACCAAATCAGAGATGGGTAATGTCTTGAGCACAAATCCAAAGGGCCTGTACAGACACTAGATGGAGCATAAAAAGGACCTCTGTAAGGAGATGATTATGCTAAATTTTAAATGATGATGTGTGTGTGTGTGTGTATACATACACATATATACATATATAAAATTACCTTTGTAATATCAGTACTGTGGTGCATCAGTGCTTCCAGTTTTTGAGACCACCACTTTTACAGGACATAATCAACCAGTAGTTTGTAATTGAAATTGCTGCAGCTCAGTTTGTGGATTTCAGAATTCAGTGAAAATATCATATAGTTTGCAAAACCGAAGGTAAATGCTTTTTCTGCAAACAACAGTACTACAACTGGTCTATGCTATAGCTGCAAGGAGCATCGTAAAGTACATGTAAATGTTCTTGTTTTTATTTCATTTAACTAAATTAACCAGGAGAGGTTATTTGAAACTAAGGAAAACACTGAACAATGTGATGCATGGTACTCTTGTTTTTCTGTGCAAAGTCAATTGCAGACTTTTATTTCTAAATAAAATTACAAAAGAAAGACATATTAACTTGTGTGCTGTCAGTCCCTCTTAAATCTAAATTAAGCAGCTGTTTTCTGGTAGTACCATAGTAATAGACATTTTTGAATGTAACTTGTCATACATTAGCATAAATTAGTCTAGCTGGTATTCTCTTGGATTCCACTTTTTAATTACTGTTTTGATATAATCAAAATTAAAATATTAAAATATTCTACTCTTGAAGCTCAGTGGTTAATAGCCTTCTTTTCTCAGTAGGATTCTTCCTTTATTTTCTTCATTGCCATCCACTTAACCTTTATTGCATTTTATCTGATGGAAATAAGTGTTTTCCGTTGATGGACATGGATTACCTTACATATAGAATGTCTGTATAGATATTTCTCTGAGTGGCAGTGACCTTTCTGATGGTTCTCTTTGAAATCTTCTCCTTTGGGATTATACTATTTTGTTGAAAGTTTTGGAAAATAAGTACTATTTTGAGCCATAGAGCAAATTCCAGTTTTGTGGGACTATGTATTGACATTCTTTGTTTTCACTCTGTGTCTCTTTCTGGTTTCCAAAGAGATTATCTTGGTTGCTGTCTGCAGCAGCTAGAAGTATCATGACTCCCTGGAAGAACTCCAAGGCCATTCCAGGGTAGAAGTAGCAGGTGACTTACAGAAGCTCTGCCCTATTATGACAGATAGGACAAATGGTCCATCTCAGTCTTAAGTGCAAGCTCTTTTGTCTCAGAGGGAACTTAGTTCCTTTTTCTAAAAAATGTTCTTTGTTGACTTTTAGCCTGAATTAGGTTATTTCTTGCAACAGTGTCTTTGAGCATTTGCTTTTTTTTTGTCTTTTTTTCCCTCAATGCTGATTTTATACCATTTCTGCTGCTTGATAACAATATCTAAAAAAACATTGCAAGATAGCTCTTCTAGTGCTTGCAAGCTTTAATTTCTACCATGAGATTCGTTATAGCTTCCTTTTTAAATGTTTAATGTTAGCTGTTGTCAAAATGAAATCATGACGTGGTAGGTCAATTTCTGTCTTGTGATTGGATCAGTACCTAGTTACCTCCAGGGCACTTCATAAGAGTGGCTTCTGCAGCTCCTCAATTTTTTTTTTCCCCCACTTGTGGATCTGATGTGATTGTTCCAGAGCAGGCACTTTCAAGATGAACTCACTCTTAGGAACTATATAAATAATATTACTGGTTTGTTTCTTAATGCTGTACATCTCTTTGCTGACGCTTAGCTGCCCTATTTTCTCTCCTGTGGGTTATCCTCAACTGGCTCCATCCATCCTTGCTGCTCTCTGTTGCAGCTGCAGTGGGTAGTACAGGCTGTAGGTGATGCTTTCCCCCAGCTGAAAAGCTTTTTGTTACAGGTGTTTTTGTAGTTGCTTAAAGGGTGCCGGTACCTAGAATGAAAATAAACACCTGGTTAAAGACCAATTAGCTTTCAGGAAATCCAATTGAGGAAATACCTTGTATTGTGTTACAAAGTACTAACTTGGAATCCTGAAAATTGCCCTAGAAGATAGGGCACATTGTAGAATCAGGCAACTTGGAAAGAAGGCTCTGTTTTTACGTGTATTAAACCCATAAGGAGTTTCATAGCTGCTCTCAGTTTGTGTGTGTGTGTTAAACTTTTTTTTTTTTATCTTACATAATACATGGCTTTCAGATTTGCAGTCTGATCTTGTGCTTTGCCTGTGTGTAGATGTCTATTGCATTTGGTACTAGTGATGCATGAGTAAAGGTTGTAGCCTGAGGCTCTTGAAGTACCTAGCGCTTCGTTCTCTCTATGGGGAATATCTGGTGAAGCCCAACAACAATCAAATAAGATTAAGGAGCAAAACACAATTGTCAAAATTGCTTCTATCTGAGGATATTCTGGATGCTGGCAAACAGGGAGTAA